TCACACTGCTTAAACAGCAGTCCCTTTGGAAAAATACCAATAGATATAGGCTAGTAAACAGAGCCTTCTATCTATTCTGACGTAGAAGTCCACTTTCCTTAACACTTGTTCCCATTGGTATCCATAGGGACTATAACAATGTGCAGATTGTTGTCTATAGAGTGACTCTTCTCACTTGTGTGTTTTGGCAGTAGTGTCTGTACATTGTGTTTACCATTGATTCTCTCTATCAATGTCTCTGCTTATCTCTCTTCCTGTGGAATTCTAAGCTACATATTACAATAAGGCCAGATTACCGGGGTGCCAAGTGAGCTGAAATGTAGTGAAAATGTGAATAGGATAATATAAGAAAATAGAAACATCTTCTGCATGTGATGGGATAACTGAACACAACTTTACTTCACTCTAATTCACATAGTAGTCAATAAGACACATTGCATATGGTTTCGTACGAAGGGGAGGCGTACCCAATCACTACAAATCATGAACTGGCTCGGTGTTATTAGGGTCACTGATGACTACCCTGATCATAATGAGTTTTAGACACAGGTATATACACAATTATGATCCTAGCTTGGGTTTCAGCACACTCTGCCATGAAGACTTACCTCTGAAGCTTTGCCCTTAGTGTGAAAACACAAAGTAAGAGTCCCATGTCCCGGTTGCAGCAGATGGGTGCATTGGGTGAATTGTCCATGTCCCCCGTGCTGAGCCTGTGAACAAACACGCACCCCATTCCCCATAACCACCACATGGGTGACCACTGTGGAAATTGATTAGGCATGATCAGTGTCAGGGAGCAGGAATTGCCTCCCAGCAGTTGGCCCGTGGTGATAGTATATGTGCTACGTATGCAGAATACACTGAGAGGAAGCCTCAAGCTTGCTCTGTTGGAGGATATTCACTGTTATGTATGTCAGCACCATTTATTCTGTATTACGAAGAATGTGCATTACCTGAGAGAGCTAGGGTTGCCACCTGTCCAGGATTCACCCGAACAGTCCGGGTTTTCAATGCTGTGTCTGGGTTTCATGGCAGCTTAAACCCGGACACAAGATGTCAGGCAGACAGGGGGCAACCAAAATTAAGAAAGGGGCTACTGGCCCCCCACTGAAAATGGTCTCAACTGTGATATTTAAACATGAACGGGTGGCGCTCAGGGCCGGATTTCCCACAAGGCCAACCAAGGCCCGGCCTTGGGGCAGCAGGGAGTAGAAGGGCAGCAGGGCTGTGAAATTCCTATCTCCTGATGCCCGGGCGGGTAGTTTTTTTTTCTACATTTAGCCCTGCTTTGGGCAAGCAGAGCTAAATGTACCGCGGGGAAGCCACCGCTTGTTTTTTACAAGCGATCTTGGCGACATTGTATGCGGCCTGTAAGTCTACCATTCTCCATGGGGATGGGGGGGTTGGCGAGTAGGGGGGCGCATTGAGGAACCTGGCCTTGGGGCAGCAGAGACAGTAAATCCGGCCCAGGTGGCGCTATTTACATATAAATAAGCCGCGGCTCATTCCCCCCCCAAAAAATTTCCATGAGTCGCAAGATTGTTCGGGTTTCGCTGAAAGAAAAGGTGGCAACCCTAGAGAGAGCACTGTGAGAGCTGCACCACACCAGGGTGACAAGTTGCTACATGTTTCATGAGTACAGTGAAGCTGCAAATGACCACAGAAAGAAATATGAGATGTTTTCCCAGAGAAAGTGAAAGGAGAGCAACATGTTAGAGGAGAGTGTAGAAAGAGTTGAATATAACCAGAGAGAGAGAGTGCTAGAAATACGGTATGCTAACTTGTAAAAGTACTATATGAGCCCCCCGACGAAGTCTTGGAAAGACGTAACTCACGTACGGCAGAGCCTAGGAACGACGTGTGTGTGAGCACAGACGCATCGGAGCTTGCTATGAGGAGTCTCCCTGCATGGTGGCTGTTGCTGTGAAATATATTGAGATTACTGCCTTATTCTTGTTTTTATGTGAGTATATTTTTTAATAAATGACTTTTAGCCATATCTATAGAGTGCACTATGGTGTGTATTCTATCCCTTGCATGAGCACTTCGAACACGGAAGACAACATCCAAGCAACATTTCGTAGTCAGAGGTGCAATCCCCGGTGGCCGGAGGGCAAAAGGGATCCGCTATTGCTAGACCTTTTCAGGAGGAAAGTGAGCAGTGAGCAGTTTTCTTAAAGAGTGGAATCACGAGGAGAGGTGGAGGGCTTCTAGAACAGTTTGGTGGAATCAGGAATCGTGAAGGAGTGGTGGAAACCGCTTATTGACGTGCTTCATGGAAGGTTATTCACAAAAGAGCCGCAGAATCCAGCCGTAGCTTCGGCTGATCCTTCGGCTCACTACGGCCACCCCGATATACCCAGAGAGAGAGAGTGCTAGAAGTACTGTATGTTACCAGAAAGAGTGTAGCTGAATATAACCAGAGAGAGAGTGCTAGAAGTACTGTATGTTACCAGGAATATTGAAGCTGAATATAACCAGTGAGAGAGTGCTAGAAGTACTGTATGTTACCAGGAATATTGAAGCTGAATATAACCAGTGAGAGAGTGCTAGAAGTACTGTATGTTACCAGGAATATTGAAGCTGAATATAACCAGAGAGAGAGTGCTAGAAGCACTGTATGTTATCAGAAAGATTGAAGCTGAATATAACCAGAGAGAGTGCTAGAAGTACTGTATGTTACCAGAAAGAGTGTATGAATTGTAAATGTTACCAGAGAGAGTGCTATGATAGCTCTACAAATTTGAGAGAACGCAATGAGTGGCATATTACCGGAGAGAGTGCAATGAGAGTGAGAATACAGTAAGTGGCATATTACCAGAGAGAGAGCGCAATGAGAGTGTCATGATGCCAGAGAATACAGTAAGTGGCATATTAGCAGAGAGAGCAATGAGAGTGTCATGTTCCCAGAGAGAATGCAGTAAGTGGCATACTAGCAGAGAGAGAGAGAGAGAGCAACGAGAGTGCCATGATCCCAGAGAGAATGCAGTAAGTGGCATATTACCAGAGAGAGTGGAGTGAGTAGTATTCTACCAGAGAGAGTGCTACTAGAGTAGATGGTGCCAGAGAAAGCACAATGGGTGTGCCATGGTACCAGATTGAGTGCAATGAGAGAGTAATGGTACCAAAGTGAGTGCAGTAAGTGGCATAATACCAGAGAGAGTGCAACGAGAGTGGATGGTACCAGAGAAAAAACAATGACTTTGCTATGGTACCATGAGTGCAATGAGAGAGTCATGGTACCAAAATGAGTGCAGCAAGTGGCAGAATACCAGAGAGAGTGCAATGAGAGTGCCATGGTACCAGAGAGAAAGCAGTGAGTGTCATATTACCAAAGAGATTACAATTTGAGTTCCGTAGTACCTGAAAGAGTGCAGTCTATGTGAATGGAGCAGTAGAAAGTACTGTTGCCAGGCCACCTGCCACTTTGCCATGAAAAGTAGGGAAGGTCACATATTGAATTTACTCCTGACAAATAAACCATGGGATGAGTCAATGGAAAAGCTGCATGTAACTCTTCTTTAACTTCTGTAACTAAGTGGCACTGCTGTAGTGGACCATGACTAAGTCATTCTACTATGTTAGTGATATGACCCTCCTCCCTTAACCTAAAAAGGCCACCTAAGGCAAGGAGTTGAGCTCATGCCATGGTATGATAGGCCTTCTCCCCTACCTGTTATTGGTTTTAGCTGAGTTTATAGCTAAATTTTCAAACTTCTCCTCCTTTGAAATACAGGCAGTCCCCGAGTTACATACATCCGACTTACATACGACTCCTACTTACAAACGGAGGCTATTACTGTACAGCAGGGGTAGTTGTAATGCTACTGCGCTCCTGTCGACGAGGAGTGCCCACCTTTTTGCATCTGGTTTGTAGTACTGTACGTACATTACACCTGCAGACGAGGGGTGCCCGCCTCTTCTTCCGGGTCACTGTGAGGTTTTTACTGCTGTCTGTATCCTCATTAGAAAGCTTTAATCTCACTTCCTGTCCTTGAGACAACAGGAAGTGAACGGAAATCTACCCCTAGGAAGGGAAATTCACTCCTGTAAGAGTGATCATGGGAAAAAGGTGTCTCCACTGAAGCTTTATCAACAATACTTGTTTCCACGACAACCCAAAATTTTCAAAATCCAATTGTCACAGGGACAGAAAGTGAAATCTTCTGAACGGGCACACACAGCAAAACAAATTTTACAGGGGGGAAACCGTTCCCTATGCTATCCAAACACAAAATGGTTTTTTTTTGGCTTGAGTTACACTTATAAAATGTACCTGTTCCAACTTACATACAAATTCAACTTAAGAACAAACCTACAGTCCCTATCTTGTTCGTAACCCAGGGACTGCGTGTACTATTGCACCCTGGTCATCCCACTGGATTCTTATGGTCATGCTTTGGTCCACCAGGCACCCTGGTCATTGTGTAGAATTATTCTCTTTCAGACCCACTGGATTCTTATGGTCATACTTTGGCCCACCAGGCACCCTGGTCATTGTGTAGAATTATTCTCTGTCAGACCCACTGGATTCTTATGCTCATACTTTGGTCTTCCAGGCACCCTGGTCATTGTGTAGGATTATTCTCTGTCAGACCCACTAGATTCTTATGGTCACACTTTGGTCCACCAGGCACCCTGGTCAATGTGTAGATTTATTCTCTGTCAGACCCACTAGATTCTTATGGTCCTACTTTGGTCCACCAGGCACCCTGGTCATTGTGTAGATTTATTCTCTGTCAGACCCACTGGATTCTTTATGGTCATACTTTGGTCCACCAGGCATTGTACCAAAAACAATAGAAATTGTAGGAGATCAGGTCCCCAATCTTTAACTACAGGGAACGTGTATTGGGAAAATAGGGAATTTCCATTGTGAGTGAAAATCTCCTTTACATTTACACAGAGAGAATAGTTTGCTCTCTGGAGAGCCTGCATGGATTCCTGCCTGGAAGTTCAGCAGTTAATTATTTCTCGCTATCTCCTTCTGCGTCACTCTGCCTCCCATCTTCCGCTGCTTCTCTCTACTCCTCTGCATGCTGTTTACCAAGCAAACCATCATATATCTGTCAGGGTGAAGCCTACCAGCCTGCCATCCTCACCCTGCTTCCTCTCACTTGTCCGCTGAGGTGGTGACCTCCGAAAACTGCTGCAGTCAAGGTCATTTGTGATACTGATATATATTTGCATGCAAATAAGTCAATTTATCGCAATACACATCGTCAGCCTCATTTAAGAAGCAAAGAGCAGTAACCCATAGCAACCAACAATTATTGTCCTTCAAGGTTTGCAGTAATGAAGGGTAATATCAGATTGGTTTCTGTAAGTTACTGCAGTCATATGCTTTAACAGATACTTTGTTTTCAAGCCTGAGGTGTCTTAATTTATATGTGTGTTGTATGTAGTGTAGAGGAGGTGATGGTTGTAATCGCTAGTGGTGCCTTTAGTTGTGTGCAGTGTAGCAATACATCAGGGTATGCATCTCTATATACGTAGTGACAGGTTATGCAAAGCAAAATACGTGCAATTTCTGACACATGCATTGCTGCTAATGCAATGACATACACATTTCAGAGCTCATACAGCCAACATATATCTCTTTGGTAAATGAGTGTAATGTACATGGGTGCTGGTCAGCATACAGCAAATCTCATCCACAAGAAGGCAGCTCCTTGCAGATGAGATGCACTGCTACTGTTAACAGTGCCTACCAACAAATCGGTAATTTAAACAGGTAGAATGTGTTGTTTTACATAATACATGAAAAATAAGTAAAAAAATTAAGGTCTAATAGTCCGTGACTGGAGGTGCAACAAAATGAAAATTTCGAAACCGAAATTTTTAAAAATGTCAGGCAGAAACCGAAAATGTTTTTTATTTTAACTTTTTCACATTTTTAAAATATTTAATTTTTATTTATTTGTATAATCTTTTACTTTTTTTATATTTATTCATTTTTTAATTAAATACTTTTATTTTTTACTTCACTTTTAGGGGAAATTATTGGGGGTCCAAACAGACCCCTGATATTTCCCTTTTAAAATAAAAAAAGAAATTGAGTCCTCAATCTCTTTTTCTGCAGCACCTGTTGTAAATGAATAGGAATCCTCTGAGTGTTCCTGTTCATTCATAAAATGAGAACATAGTATGTTTACTATATCCACAATCATGAATGAACAGGGGGAGGTGATGTAGATCACTTCCCATTCATTCATAATTGAGGATATAGTCCTCAATTATGTAAAAACATTGTTTGCACTCGTCTCCTTCCTGACTTACTGTCACAGCAGTGGAGCTCAGCCTGCTGTGACAGCACGGCCTGTCTCCGCCCACACATCGCTCTGCATTATGCCAAAAGTGCAATTTTCGGCCAATATGTTTCGCCGGCCGATATATCGGTGCATCCCTATCTGTAACCTCTTGCAGCACACTCCTAGCAGCTGGGCTGTTAAGCCAGTTCCCACATATGGGGCCTACAGTACAGTTTTGCTGGAATGGTGGACTCCACCTCACGGGTTCACTACTACTCGGATTCCACGCTTCTTCCGCCCTAGGTCTGTTTGGACTCTCACTCTAATACTACATTTGAGAGGCCTCTACTTTTCCAATGGTTCCAGGTTCAGTCCATAGGAGATCCCAGGTTCAGTCCATAGGAGATCCCATCTAATACCTGTGGCCCATATGAATAAGGGCCCAGATGGCATTCGTGTGCACCTGGGAGAACCTTCACGGGCCACCGACGAACCCTCCATCACTAAACCACCACTCATTCCCGACCCCAGCCAGCTTCTATTTCACACTCCCCTGGTATAGGCTGTGCCATTATGTCTCTAAGAGAACTTGCAACCAGTCCAACATATTCAACGGCAGCATTACTCATAACACCTGGCTGCCGATAGGTTGTTACACATGTTGGTCTTCACCAAACACGGCAACGGGCCCTTGCCACAACTTTCTAAGGTGAGATAGAAGGACCCCTTCCAGCATAATGTATTTAAGCAATGGATACACCCCTACCAAGCCGCCAGGTATGCAGACCATTAGGAATTTATATGCCAGAAATGATTGGTTAAACCTAAAATTGATTTTAATTCACCTTTTTCTTTTTACTGGCTTTTTAAATAAAAAACAAAATAATGAAGAGATAAGATTGAGGTTTTAGTGCAGAATGACGCATTTGGTAGTTAAATAGAAGCTTTCCATGGATATCTGTACATCAGACCAAAAAGAGGGACCACTGAGGAGTAAAGAGGAGCAGAGGGATTTGGTTCCAAATGAGGGACAGTTGGGAGGTATCAATACTGCATGACATGTCTGAACATCATGGCAGGCTTACCTTGCATCCTCCAGCTATAACGAGTACACAGTTGCTACCACCACTCCGTCAATGCCGCTGCCTTCTTCTGTTCTTTTTCCAGTCCGGCATCTTCGTTAAGTGTCCCTGCCGCAATTCAGCCTTGGCCACTTTGACGTTTTGTGTGTTCACATATTCTCCAAAATGAATAACACAATCCAGAGGACCTGAGAATTAAAGGTGCCATCAGAATCAATGGATATAAGATGCTATTATATATTATTAGCACAAGCTGAACATTTGGATTTGCATAGAATGACTGTGTAGGGAATTTGCGTGTGCCTGACTTGCTCAGAGCTTAAAAATTCTTCTTCTGCAGGTTGGCAATCTGTGCTGCAAGTGTTAACTACAAGAGGACATCAGGGAAATAAGGTGACTGATGAATATGTTGTCTCCAGGGAGATGCCATATTTTGCCTCGAGCACCGGGGAAGAAATGAAATATGTTTCTCTATACACTGTGATGCCAATTAGTGCATGCGGATTCTGAGTCTACTGTCAGTGCAAGCTGTGCATTGGTTCCTAGTGAGCAGCCTGAATATTTGGGAGACCATAGAATGGCTTCCTACACAGTGTATGGTGACAGGTGCCCTTAAAAGAATTATCTTCAGCATTTGACATGGAAATCCTTCTCTCAGCAAGTAAATGTGACAAGTAGGCTTGGAGGCTGAAGGCCTCTTCACCTGGCTGAAGACATTCTCCCCACTTACAGTACATATAACAGCTAATTGTCAAGCACTGGGATTATCACATGGGAGTAAGGGCAGGAAGCCAAATGCTCCCCATACCTTAAAGTGCGGGGTATTTGTCTTGGAATAGGTTCGGCTGGTGGGATTGCCATTACAGCGAACCTGTTTATGGTGACAGGCGCCCTTAAAGGTATTATCTTTATCCTTTGACATTGTTAGAATACACATTACTGTGTTTGTAGCAACAAGTTCTGCAGTGTACATTTTCGGTCACTAGATGGCAGTGTTTAGAAGTTCTGTTATACATTATCTATGGTATATACTCTGTTGTATTGAATAAGGTAGATAATAAAGCTGTGGCTTCCTTCCTGTTTTTTCAAGCCATGTGCAGCATTCACATCTGACTGTGTGCTTGTGTTTCTCTGTGAGGCTGTGCAAGAAGTTCCAACAGACATGGAAAATCCCTACACTCGGCAAGTGATTGTGACCAGTAGTCTTGCAGCTGTCTTCCCTCCCCCATGGATGCCAAACATGACAGTGTTGGGTGCCTGAGTGGTCAATCGCCAAGCACCAGCACTGTCATTTTGGAGGCAGGGGGGAGAGTCGCATGCTTCCTATAAAAAAAAAAAAAAACCCACTTAACCCATAGTTCTCCTTTAAAGTTCACCTAGCACATTACCACCTGATTGTACAATTTCGTTTTAGATTTGACAACAATTATGTAATACAACGGCCTTCCTGATGGAATGGATGCACATTGAACAGATTGATTTAGGTAGGGCCTCACATTACACAGTTTTGGTCAAAGCGTTTCTTACTCTATCCAAAACAAAATGTAAAGATTTAGATTAGATGTACGGTATACTCAAAAACATGACGGCTACTTTTGGGGGTGCATAAGGCTTTATGAACTCGGGTACAGGAATGAATGGAATGGGGAAGTTGGCAGTAGGGGGTTTTCACTAAAGCTGGCCATACACCGGTCATCTTGCACCACGTAGCCCCGTTGGGTCCCTCCCAGAAGAAGCCTGTCTGAAAAATCTCGGTGAATCAGCTGCAGTTCACTCACCGCTGACAGCAGCCCACCCACCGCTTTAAGTGTTCAATAGACCAGTGAAAGGTTGTTTTCCCCTCTTATTTGGCCCCCCGTAGTGCTAATCTAGAAAAAGAGTTGATTGCAAGCTTTGCTGAACATAAGTTGTAAAAAATAAAAATAAAAAAAGATCTCTGAAATCTCTATTTTTCTCTTTCCAGGCAGAAGTTCCCATCAGCCCACATCCTACAGAAATGGCAGGTAAGACCCCAGTTCTCTGCACTTCCTGTCTCTGACTAGCCATCTGTGCCAGTTTGAGTTGTTGGCAGCCTTCTTGTGCCACTGATGCCACAATATATTGTGCAAGCGCAGTACGGGAAGGGAAGAGGAGTGACCTTATATTAGAAGGTGATCATTCATGCAGATGGCGTATCATCTCCCTATAGAATGTTCTATATAAGCTAATTCCACCCCTCGTACCATGGTCCATGTTACACCCATATTAAGGGTATAACATGGCGCCATTCTGCAGCCCCCCACTTACCAGAATCGCAGGGTGCTTCTGCCTGCAGACTCCTGTGTATTTGTGAATTCCGTGTGTGGCTCCACAATCACAGTTGCGTCATTCATTCACGGATCCATTCAACTGTGAATGAAAGAACAACAAGTTCTGCCTGTCACTGCGGCGGAGGGAGTTCTCAATGGAGTACAATGGTGACATTGCCGCACTTGTAATCCATCGATAGCTTCCTCCAGCTTCATAACCCAGGTCTGTACTTCAGGGATGGCAGATAGCAGGGGAATCAGCAGATAGCAGAGGAGCTAATTATTCCCCTGCTATCTGCTGTGTTGTTTTTTGTTTTTTTTAAAATTCGGATTCTGACAGCGGCCGCCGGCAGAATTAACCCCTTCATGACTGACCTAGTTTTCAGTTTCTGTTCGTAAATGACTGACACACTTTTTAAATTTTTGCTGTGTGATTCTTCCACGGCAGTAATATATTTTCTTTCTAAATGTACCCGCACATATTATATATTGTTTTTTAGAGGACAGATAGGGCTATATAATTATATCAAACATGTGTACCTAACCCCTCACTTAGTTCGAATAAAATATTTTTAAAAATGAGGAAAAAACGTAAAGAAAACACCTTTTTCACAAGTTTTGATGATTATTATTTTTTCCAATTATAGTTTAAAAAAATTTATTTTTATATATGATTTTTATTTTACACTTTTTTTTTCACTTTGTAAAAAAAAAACTTTTTTTTTTGCCAGTTTATATCAAGCAATCACTATGACTGCTTGATAAATTAACTTTTTAAATTTTGGGTTATTATTAGGCTTCTCAGTAAGGGGGCGGGTCTTGTGACTCACCTCCTCTCCCGGCCGCGTCCCTAGTAACAGGCGGCGGGAGAGGAGAAGTGTGTGTCACATGCCCCGCCCCCCGCAGTGCACACCGTCTGGCTGGGATGCTGGCTGTAAGGCTTGGCAGGTGAGTCCGAATGAGGAGCGTTATGAGGAGTCCAGTGCGTTACTAAGCCCACATGTGCCTATATACATGCTATACATAGCATCAAGGTAAAAAATGATATATGCCGTGTTATCTTCATTTTAAATGTCAAAAGGGTTTTGTGGCTCCCGGTGTTTTCTTTTCTGTGGGAAACTGGTCAAAATGGCTCTTTGAGTGTTTTTAAAGTGACATTAAACCCTCAGATTTTTTAACATAAACCAATACTGTAATGTGCGCCTTACTGTAATCCATGGTTGTTTCCCTTCTCTTTGCTGCTCTTCCTTTTAAATCTGTATCTGTTCTCATGCTCTGCAGAACTTCTGTTTTGCAGCAGACTGCCTTGTCTCAGGAATGGATACACGGTGTCTGTGTATAGATTTGTATAGGCTTGTAACCTGAGCCAGCACTACAGGAAGAGGCCCTGAGCTGAAAAGGGAAGTTCTCCCCAAGCATGAGAAGACATGAGGATTTAAAAGGAAGAGCAGCAAAGAGAAGGGAAACTACCATGGATTACAGTAAGGCACACATTACAGTATTGGTTTATGTTAAAAAATCTGAGGGTTTAATGTCACTTTAAGGTTGCTGACCCCTGCCCTAGAGACTGAATCAGATCTCACTAAAGGTTTCTGATGGTGCCTAGATGATCAGAAGTGATACATTTCAGGCAAAGAGATACATTGTAACATTGTGCCTGAAATGTATCACACAGCTTCATAAACATTGGGCCAGTCTATGGAGCTGTCAAAACAAAAAGCAGACAGGTGACTCACTCTGCTACCTCTCTGCTATCTTCAGCTGTCAAATACCGTAGCGGAGCGCTATTTAGCGCTCCCGTATTTGTATGTAACGGCTTCATTCTGTCATTAATGAAAGAAAGAAGCTTTTACAAATGTTTAACTATTTCATTAATGAATGCCTCAATACTGAGGCATTCATTAATGACTGGTTACGGCTGAGAATCAGTGGTTACCGGCATTACAGAGCCCTAAAAAACTCATCACGCACAGTGTACGTGGCCAGTCATATAGGCACCTCGTGGCGGGACGTACAGTGTACGTCTCCCGTCATGAAATGGTTAAAACTAAAATCAATCAACAAATAGCAGGGGAATGAATAATAATGAATAGCTAGGCTGTTATTGGCCATTTCAAATTGTATTCGCCGATAGCAGGCTGGCTATTGTACCTGCTCATTGCTGCTGTCAATCAGCAGAGGTGGACCTGAAGGAGAACTTGTATGGAGAGCCCTAGAAGTCATTCACAAGGGCCTGTTTATACCTACGGTCTGCATGCCAGGAGGGACAGGTGCTGCGTGTATTTGCATGTACCTCTCTATAGGAGGACACGGCTACACACTGACCTGAACCGGCACATATGTACAGGCTCAGGTGCCGACACTTGGATGCACACTGTCTGTGCCCATTCACACGGATGCGCACATCCATATAGCATGCATGCCTGTGCAGAGACCTGACCCCAGGAGGGACAGGTGCTGCTTGTAATTGCGTGCAGCCGCCTTTACCTCCTTATGGTAGGATGCGGCTGCACGCAGTTACACGCAGACCCCAACCCACACATATATGCAGGTCTGGGTGCCCGCACTTGGGCGCACACTCTGTGTCCCAGTGTGGGCACCCAGACCCCACACTAATGTACAGGTTCTGGTCTGTGTGTTACTGCGTGCAGCCTGAAGCTGGTCTCTGGATGGGCTTGTACGCTGTATGGATATGCACGGCCGTATAAATGGGCTCTAAAGCTGACCACAAACTTTGCAATCTGATTGTACAGTAAAATGTTCTTTTAAATGTACCATGTAGTGCAGCGTACCCTGAGGTGTAAATGAGGGCTTAGTGCAGGGGTCCGGCCCTCCAGCTGTTGCGGAACTACAAATCCCATGAGGCATTGCAAGACTCTTGCGGCCATGACTCCCAGAGACGGATGCATCATGGGATTTGTTGTGTCACCACTGCTTGCCCACCTTGACTTAGGCCTCATTAACACTAGAAAAGGCCGGCACATACAGCTCTGTGCTGCGTGCACGGCCATATCGGGCAGCTACCAGGAAGGACAGGTGCTGCGTGTGATTAGTACGCAGCCCCTGTCCTTCTCTATGGGAATAAACGGCCGTACACCGCCCTACGCTCACCCGCCCTGCACGTCCGTGCGGGTGTCCGTACTCATACACTGACAGTCGGGACACCCGCACCCGTACGGACCTGCACTTGAGGTGCAGGGCGGGTGAGCGTAGGGCGGTGTACGGCCACGTATTCCCATAGAGAAGGACGGGGGCTGCTAACTAGTCACACGCAGCATCCGGTCCTTGCCGGGAGCTGCCCGATACGGCCGTGCACGCAGCGCGGAGCTGTATGTGCCGGCCGTTTCTAGTGTGAATGAGGCCTTAGCGTATGTATGGACGCTGCAACGCTGCCATACTTCATACGCTCAGATATGTGATTAGTGGAGCTGTGAAGGATGTGATTTACAAAATAAAAAGACACAAACTTAACCAAAACTATGTGACAGAGTCCCAATGAGGCCTAACGTTTGCTGTGCGCCTCATCTTCCACTCACCCAGTATTATATATTGGGCCTTGTGAGCGTCAGGTCTGACTTACTGTAAATACCTGCAGAGGCCAAGAAAAGGATTGCAGTGTTCAGTCAGAAAACCCATCATTTGTCGTCTTCATGTTACACCCAAAAAGCGGCTATTTCAGTCAGAACGCCGGTCTGTGAACCAGAGGGAAATGTTAATAGCAACGTCTTCTTCCAAGTAGAGACCACAACACTATTTATAGCTGTCTAAGTATAGGTTTCAGGAACATGTGTTGATGGAGATAAAAAGACATGACTGGAAGCGTCTGGAAGAAGAAGCCCGTAGCAACCAGTGCGCTGCCCATAGCAACCGTATTCTCAGCTTCATGTTTCTAGGCCCGACTGCAAAATTACCAGGAAAAGACAAAGGCTTTTGGAAGAACCAGGCCTCAGTCAGAATCAGAAGCGGCTGAAGTGACTTTGAGCCGTATTTCTGAAAAATATCTGAAAAGAAAGTGTGTTGTCCTTAGCAACCAGAACCTTGCACTAAACTGACTTCTTATGGTTGCTAAAGGCAGCGTGGACACCGCTTGGGAGGTTATGTCTATGTGCTTTGGTGCTGATGTGTGACAGAGATGGGGCCAGCCAGAAATTGACCTCAGGGATTTATAAAATTAATATTTATAATTATTTACTAACTATTAGACCTGCTAGGGCAGGTCAAACAGGAGAATTCCCCA